AACAACAACAACAGTAGTCAATACTAAGGTTTCTATTTTAAATATTCTTACAATTTCATTGATATGAAAACTCGAAAATTATAAGTCATATAATTTATTACTTACTGTGAGAATTAATGAAATTTTAGGAAAGTCAGTATTACATATATCTCCTCTAAAACTAAATTCACTTCTCTTGAGTTAATTCTGATTCATGGTGATCCTCAGATTTACAAAACTGTAAATCCTTACTGATGAGTACTACCAGACACATATTTACCTTAGTATAATATTGAAATTTTGACAGAAATTACCAGAAATACAAGCTGGGTTTAAAAATAGTCATGGGTCTAGAGACATTATTTCCAGTGATAGATGGATCTTGGCTGAAAGCAGAGAGTACTAGAAGAAAGCCTATCTGTGTTTCACTAACTATGTAAAAACCTTTTACTGTGTGGATCACAAAAAATTGTGGCTAATATTGAGAAGAATAGTAGTCCCAGAACACTTGATTGTGCATGTGAAACTTATTCTTGGACCAGGAAGCAGACATTAGAACAGAGCAAGGAAACATGTATAATTAAAAATCTGCAGCCAAGTGCATCAGGGATGTGTCTTTTCTCCATAACTTTTCAATCTATATGAGGAACATATCATTTAGGAGGCTGGACTTTATGAGGAAATATTTGGCATCAACGACTTGAGTTATGCAAAAGACACAATCTTGCTTGCTGAAACTGAAGACCTCAGATTTTTGCTTCAGAAAGTCAAAGACTATAGTCTTTAATATGAATTGAAGATCAACATCAATAAAACAAAATTTCTCACCAATCGAAAACTGGTAGTCATGGAGAAGAGATAGAGATTAAAAATTTCAGCTTGTTTGCGTCCACAATCAACAGTCTTGGCACCAGCAGTTAGGAAATCAAAAGATGAATTGTATTAGAAAATTGCTGGAGATTAATTATGTCAATCTAGAAACTAAGTTGTGCCTGATCCAGGCCATGGTCTTCGCAAGTATTGCTGGGCAATGACAGAAGAAGAATCAGTGCCTTTGAGACGTGGAGCTGGAGGGAAAGAAAATTGAATTTACCCTGGGCTGCCAAGAAAACAAATGGATCTGTCCTGGAGAGAGTAAAACCAGGTTGCTCCTAGGAGGTAAGGATTTTTAAATTCTGCCCCACATGGTTTGGGAATATTGCCAGGAGGGCAAGTCCTTGGGAAAGGACATCATGTTTGGAAGGGTGGAAGGACAGCACAGCAGAGAAAACCTTGGATGAGATGAATTGACACAGTAACTGGAATAATGGAAGTAGGCATGGTGGAGACAGTAAGATTGGCTCACGATAGTGTATGGTTCAGAGCTGTTGTGCATAGTGTCACTAAAATTCACAGTCAGCTCAACAGCACAAAACAACAATATTGGAACTCTATTTGAGATTTATATTCATGTTTGCCTCCTGAAAATTTAGTATTTCCTTATTCAGATTGTACTTCAGATGAAGGTGTATCTCCGAAGACTTGCCCTGTCTTTTAACTGTACCGATAGGACAAAGTTGTTTGGTCAACAGGTAGCCACATAAAATTAGTTTGCTTGTTATTATTGATTATATTTGGTATAATAATAAATATATGCCACTAGTATCTATCCTTTCATGTTTCTTTTCAATAGTTAGATATAAGTTCGTTAAAATTGTTTATCTTCCAAGAACTTTCTTCAGGGCTTCAGCCACGTCTTTGTTTCGAAGACTGTAGATAAGGGGATTAAGCATGGGTGTAAGGAGAGTGTAGAAGACGGAAAGAACTTCATCCTGCTCAGCTGTGTGATAGGCTTTGGGAAGAACATACTTCATAATGGCTGTTCCATAGAAAAGACACACCACAATCATATGGGAAGAACATGTAGCCAAAGCCTTTTTCATCCCTGAATTTGATCCTAATCCCAAAACAGTTGAAAGAATTTTTCCGTAGGAGACCATGATGGCTGATATTGGAATGAGGAGGAACACGACACCACTGAAAAAGAGACCCTCCTCATATTGAGAGGTGTCTACACAAGCAAGTTTTAGGAGAGCTACATTCTCACAAAAGAAATGATGTATTTCCCTGGAGGCACAGTAGGGAAGATTTAAAATATATATAGCATGGACCAAGGCATTAAGCAGAGCTCCCAACCAAGTTCCAATCACCATGAGTCCACAGACTGCAGGGCGCATGAGAACTGCATAATGAAGTGGATGACATATTGCCACATAGCGGTCATAAGCCATGACAGCCAGGAGAAGGCACTCTGCTCCCACAAGGACCATAAAGAGGAACAGTTGAATTGCACAGTTAACAAAAGAAATGGTGTTTCTCCCAGATAGGAAGTCAATAGCTATCTTGGGGACAAAGGTAGAGCTATACAAGAGGTCCATGAAAGATAATTGGCTCAGAAGGAAGTACATAGGGGTGTGAAGTCGAATATCCAACCAAATGAGGATCATCATTACAATATTACCAAAAATGGCTATGAGAAACACCAGGAATATAAATGTAAAGAGAAGCTTGGGGGCTTGGATATGGAAGAACAGTCCCAAAAGGACAAACTCAGTTCCCGTTGTCTGATTTCTCCAACTGTTCATTCTCTCCTTTGCAATGTGTTAGCCTGTAGAGAGTTCACAAAAATTTTAAACCAACATCGTCCAAATAGACCAACTCTTATTTTTCAATATACCATATGCTCCCCCTCCATTTTGCTTTGCAATATACATGGATTTTAAAATATAATTATCTCCATGACTTGATCACAATAAACTTTCTTATTATATGCCACTTTTTATTAAATTCCACTTTAAAAATCCAAAACAATAGTGTCAATATCATTAGTGAATGCATTTAGTTTTTTTCTATTTTGATTGTTTTGATAAGTAGAATTTACTTAAAATTTTCAATGTCTATAGATTTGACATATTTGTAATGTTAGTGTAGGGAGCTCCGGTGGCCTAGTGGCAAGAAGCTGTCCTTCAAAACCAAAGGAACATAGTTTGAAGTCACCAGCGGCTCCATGGGAGAAGGATTGACAATCTCCTCTCATAGAATTAAATGGCTCTGAAAACCCACTGGAGGGTCTGCTATGGGTTAGTTCCAACTTAAAGGCACATAATAATAACAACAAACAAGTTTTACTACACACATACATCAACACACACACGTATCCCATGGATGAGTCACATGATTTCTGTCTGGATATTTTTAATCAAGTTTAAGTAAGTGGTCCCATTGATTTTGTTTTTATAGTTTTATTTTTCTGTTGTTTTATTTTTCACATCTATGATTTTTCAAGGAGTTTATGTGTTTATAGAAAGTTGTGTTACTAACTCAAAAGTGGCCCTTCTATCTCTTTCAGGCAGTTTGGAATCCACTAACAGCTCCATGGAGAAATAAGGGATTGTCTCTTCCCATAGGATTACTGCTTTGAAACTCTGTGGAATGTTAATTTAGTCTGTTTCAAATCAACTGCAATGACTTGATCCGAATATTCTCTAAAACTCCAAACTCAGACTCTTGCAGAATACAACATGGTTACAAGAATATGAAGCAGAGAACTTAAGACTTTGGATATTCTCTTAGGTTCTGTCTTATGGGCAAGAGAGTGGTGGTAGAACTCTGGGTTATGAGATGATTCTGCTGCTTAGATAAATTTAACAGTGGGTAGGATAAAGTGTCTCTCTGGCTTCCTTTCACTCTACACTTGCTTACACCCTGCCATCTACCATGACTACTTGTTACATAATTCTTCAGCCTCCAAGAGCAGTTCTAATAGCCGCTACATCAGTGGTGACTCTAAAGATGATAACAACTACTTCCTTAAGTGCTGGCACAATATTCAAATCACATAGCTTTCTATTTCACAGAATCATATTTTACATAACATCACAGTGGGTGAGCAATACATACCGATATATTTTTCCATACAATATGTGTCATTAGAATCTGTGTGAAGCAGAAACCTGTCAGAAAAGGAAAATCAATGTTTTCCATTAATAGAGGCTAAGAGAAAAGCGATAATACTGCACTCTGTCAAATGTGGAAGACTAGGCAGCTTCAGCTGCCTCTTAACTATCTATCATATCTATCATCTATCGATGTATCTATCTATCTTCTATTTATCATCTATCTATCTATCAATCTGTATACACAAAAATACATCTTTTTGAAGTATGTTCTTCAAACAAGTTAATTACAAATATTTTTATTGATTTTGTTCTAATATTCATCCTTTGAATGTATTACATATTGTATTTGTGGAACTTTTATCTCTGCCCATTAAAAGAAAGAGAGAAAGAGAGAGAGAGAGAAAGGGAGAGAGAGAGAAAGAAAGAGAAAGAAAGAAAGAAAGAGAAGAAGAAAGAAAGAGAAAAAGAAAGAGAAAGAAAGAAAGAAAGAAAGAAAGAAAGAAAGAAAGAAAGAAAGAAAGAAAGAAAGAAAGAGAAAGAAAGAAAAGAAAGAAAGAAAGAAAGAAATTTTGTCTCTGCTCACGAAAAAAAAAAAAAGTAAGGGAAAAGTAAAAATGGTTATTTGAGAAAATAAAAATAACAGAAACAACCATAAAACTAATTACCATTGAGACAATTTAGAATTAATAAAAAAGTGAAATTGCTTAGAATTACTCCGTAAACTTATTAATGTTACAATAGTTTTTCTTCTATTGAATGTGCATGATATTTTTTTTCTATTAACATTTTATGCCTTAAATTATTTTTTTCTTCCCCTCCATTCCACTTAGTCTGTTGTGTACATCCTGTTTCAGATAGTTAATTTTAATACAGGTAAAGATCACTTATTTTAAACTAGTGACACATTCCAATAAACCATACCTTAGATAATGGAAAATGAAGATAATATTTAAAATTATTTATTTTTTTCTATATACTAAATTACTTCCTAGTGTGATATTCCCTCCCCTTTCAAGTGTATTTTTAGGGGGATAGAAGGACACAAAGTACTTATAAGTATAGCTTAATAAATATGGGCCTTTTATATCTTTCAAAGTCTTCCGTAAAATATGTGTTTCAAGCATTAAATCACAGATAGATAATAGATAGATAGATAGATAGATA